GGAAAACAGAAGTCTTAAAGATAAAATAATTTCTATAAATTATTTATAGTACTGTTAAGTAAAACATTGTTACAGATAGAAAAAATGAAAATGAAGGATGGCTATTTCAGATATATGACCTTAATTGTCAGAGCTGTCAAACAAAGATTTTTTGCAAGTATTTACTGTCAATCAGCAGTTGAATTACCATCTCTTACAGTAGAGAATAAAAGAACCCTATACTGGGGCAGAGGCTGGATAGGATATTCTTTTGAGTATCTTTTTCTTTGCTTAAATGGCTAATTCTATTCTGCCAACTGTTTTTGCCTATTCTTCTACATAGTTATGTTTTTCTCGTTTGCTGCAGTTTTGTTCTGTTAGTTGAATGGTTGCCAGTTACATCAGTTATAAATACTATCTGCATTTGAGGCTTGAATTTTCACTCTGTTCATAGTGCCTTTATAATACTTAAGTTCATTTCAATACAAAAAATTTACAACATTGCTATAGGGATCGTTATTCTTGCATCTTAAGAAATTCTTCCTTCTTATTTTGAGTTTGGTAGGATGTAATTGTTTATATTTTCTTTCAGTTTTTCTTTTCACATTTAATCCTTGAGCCCACTTGAATTACTTTTGTGAGTGGTGTAAAATGGGAATCATCTTTTTTCTTTATGGGGTATTACAATGGGTAACCAGTTCCCCTGGAACCATTAATTCAATATGCCATCTTTCCCAGTGATTTATAATGACACCTCCGTCTTGTACCAGATTCCACCAATGTTTGGAGAGTTTCCGGATTGCTAATTTGTTCTACTCATTTTCATATGGCCAGCAGAACCACGTTTTAACTTTATTGCACCAAGTAAGTGTTCATACGTTTTAGAGTGACTCCCTCAGCCACCCTTAGTTTTTCTTAGCTCTTTAAGTATTGCTCATGAATTTTAGGATTGGCAAGTCATTTCTGACAATAAACCCTATGAGAATTTTAACAGGAATGACTGAATCTGTAAACATATTAAGCATGAAATGCCATCTTTTAGAGTCTGTCCATCCATTTAAAATACAATTTCTTATTTTGGGAGTCTTATTTGTGTCCTTCACTAGTTTTATGTTATCCATAAGGTTTTAAATGGTTTATTAGTTTCATTCTTAGATGTTTTGGTGCATTTACTGCTTTTGTTGCTATTGTAAATAAGATTTTTTAAACACAGGATTGTCTAACTAGGTGGTTGCTGATATGCAGTAATATATACTGATCTTGTGAGCAGTACCTTTTTGGAGCTTTTTATCAGTTCCGATAAAAGTATCCTATTCTTTCATAACTTCTACATCCATAACCATATTATTTATAAGCCACCACAATTTTGTTCATTCTTTCCTTATAACACATTATTTATTATTCCTTATTTTCATACTTCCATTTTTTTCTCATCATGTTACAGAAGTCAGGACTTCTTATGGTCAGGGAAAATGTTGAAAATTGGCAACAGTGTACATTGTTGTCTTGTCCATTACTTTAACTCATTAGGTTACAATATTTTTGGTAGTGCCAGTGCCCATTTACTGTTAATTTTTATAAGTATTTTTTATTATAAATGTATCAGCTTTTGTAGAATTTTTTAATGTATATATTAGGATGATACATTTCTTTTCTTTTTTCTTTTTCTTGGTAATGTGGAAAATCATGGAGGTTTTTCAAATGTGGACTCATCCATGCCTCCCTGTCATTATTTATTATGTTTTTACACTTCACTGTATTCAATTTGCTAGTATTTATTTAGGATGTTTGCACCTATGTTTGTAAGTAAGACTGGTTTGCAAATTTCTTTCTTTTGCTATTCTGTCTGGTTTTGGTATTAAGATTAGATCAATATTTCTTTCTTTTCTATTCTTTAAGATAGTCTACAAAAGACAAAAATTATCTGTTGCTTTAACTATATGAACCTTATAAAACCATTTGTGTTTGATAATTTAAAGATTAATAAGTTACACTAACTGCCTATAAATTGTCTACATTACTTACAGTTAGATTAGGTATTAAACTTACGGATTACATGATCTAATTTGAATAAATCAACTCACAAAATGAACAATGGGCTTAAATGAGTACTGTTAAGACATAAAGTGAGAATAATATGAAAAATGTAAGCACTAGCAAATAAAGGAAGAACACTGCTACTGCTAGTGTGAGCACTTTATTGATTATAGGTAAGAACAGTGAATTCAGGCCAAAAATTTTAATTCTTAAGAAAACCATTTAAAATATGGATTTATAGCTTCTATCATGACTAATAAAATTCTCCCAAAGTCTATACTGTGTAATAAGATACTGGCAGTGAAGTCATGATTAGCAAGACATTTAAAAATTGTTTATAACATCTTTACTTCAACCTTAAAAATTTTAATTTGTGGAAAGATTAGTGCAGATATTGATGTGTATACATACACACACAAATCCACACATAAATGCCTCAAAGGATATGTGCTCCATTTTTTTTTTTTTAAAGATTTGGTGTGCAAGTATGCAAAGTTAGAGCCTACCCATCTATACCATAGCAGAATGGTTTTATTAAAAAAATCTAATTTCATTACTGTCCACTTGAAGCAATCTAGCAGCTCTCTGTGGTCCTAAGAAAGAAAATCTTATTATTTCCTACATAGCTTTCTCATAATCTGATCCTTATTTCTTTGGCTTAATCTATTAACATTCTCTCCCTTGCTCTCTATGGTACAAGCCACATTAGACTAAATGGTTCCTATCCTGAAGTATGAGCACTGAAATTACATAAGACAAGAAGTTATCCCCCCAAATCATCAAGAAGACTATTTAAGGTATAGATTTATATATACTATCATTACTGATGGTTTTCAACCATCAGATGAAAAGGATTTTCACACACATATTTGTGCACTTTGCTGAGAATAGCACAGTCATTTAAATAATTTACTTGTTTTCTACATATAGTTGGGTCTGCCTTATCACTTAAGTTCACAGAATCACAGAATGTAAAGATTGGAAATTTACTTTTAAAATGTCATTTATTCCAGCCACTCATCTGATGCTTTTGTAAACCTCTAATGATAAGGCAACCACTTTCCACTTGGAGAAATATCTAATCCTTAGAATATTCTTTCATAAATGGACCTGAAATCTGTTTCCATCTAATTTCCAGATCCTAAATCTACTCCTGGGTTATTCAAAGAAAGTTCCATCCTACTTTAGTCTAATGGCCATACAAATATTTACAGATCACTATGTTACTGCTAAGGCTTCTCTTCTGTGGTAGTAAGGAATAGGAGGTACAGAGTATGGAGGCCAGGGTTTGGCTATCTTTTATGAGTTGGTTAGCTCATATTTGACTTTCACATTGCTCTAATTAGTTTGTTATTATTACTGCCAAGTAACAAATGAGGAAACTAATGCTCCAATAGGTAAAGTTACCTTTTCAAGTAAGTTGCAGAACTGAGATTTCAACTACAAGTTTGTTAGACACCAAAGGCTATGTTTCAGTATTGTTACAACACTGAACTGCCTCCCACAAAGAGCTCAAAGAGGGTATGAAACATGGAAGAGCAAAAAGAAAGCAAGCAAAACTCTAAAAATCCTATACTTTCTAACTTCCAAAATTCTATGTATTGATGTATTTTTTTCCTCAAGACTTATGATGTGTCATCTTGGACCTTTCTGTCTTATAAACTATTATCTTAATATTTCTCAGATTTTTCTATATAAACACCCATGACCCAAAATTAGGGAAGCAAAAAGAGAAAATTATTTCCATATTTCATCCCCTTTCAGTTTTAATCTGTCTCATGTAATGAAAAGACTATCTTTTTAAACATTGACTAGGTACTCTTCTTTAGAACTCCAAAACACACTGCCTTCTGTGATCAAACTTAATGCTGATATTTTCCTGTCTTCAAGGATTGACAACACGATCCCTAACTTGTGTTAACAAAAGACACTTGTTCTCTCTTCTCCAGGCAAAGCTTATTTGGCATCTGCCACAAGCATTTAAAAGGCCTTCCTTTCTTTCCTCTGTGAATCATCACTCTTCCTTCAATTAAGTATTAGATAAGTCCAACATACCTTTCATCATTCAGGACTCCTATGAAAAATGTATCTCTATATAGTTAACTGTGTGATTATATAATATTTATCACATATATTAACTTTTCTCTTTCCCAGTTAATTATAACTGATGAAAAATCAATTTATTTTTATTTTTCACTTAAGTATAAAAACTGAACAGCAAGTGCTTAATTAATATTCTCAGCTGTACATTTTAAAAATATGTTTTTATGGGATGCCTGGGTGGCTCAGTTGGTTAAGCATCTGACTCTTGGTTTCAGCTCAGGTCATGATCTCATAGTCGTGAATTCAAGCCTCGCACTGGGCTCTGCTCTGACAGTGCAGAGCCTGCTTGGGATTCTCTCTTCTCTTCTCTTCTCTTCTCTTCTCTTCTCTCTCTCTCTCTCTCTCTCTCTCTCTCTCCTTCTCTTCCTCCCTCCCTCCTTTGCTCCCTCCCTCCCTCTCCCTCTCTTTCTTAGTGCTCTCTCTCTTTCTCTCTCTCCCTCCCTCCCTCTCCCTCTCTTTCTTAGCGCTCTCTCTCTCTCCCTCCCTCCCTCTCTTTCTCTCTCTGACCCTCCCCTGCTCACTTGCTCTCTCAAAAAAAATAAAATTAAAAAAAATTTTTTTAATTAAATAAAGAATACAAATGATTCTCTTACCATATACTTTATTATGAAAAGAGACAAAGAGCAACTCAAATTTCCTCTCATATAATAAACAAAGTCAAATGCAATATAAAATTCAGCACTTCTCTCTAGTTCATATCACATAGGCCAATTACACATAATATTACTTCTAAAATATATTTCTTTATGAATATAAGGTTTATATATATTAAATAATACTAAAACAAAGCATTATGTTTTACACACACACACACA